TAACCCAACACCAGAGTCATTGGGGGGAGGGGGGAAATGAGCGTGAAATGGGGGACAACGTAGGACATTTTGTGGAGATGGTGGTGGCCGCGATGGGGGTCTCCAGGGATCTCTCCTAGGCACCAGGTGACCTGCGCTTGCTTTCTCTCTTCAGGCAGGGATCCCACAGCTGGATGGTCCTAAGCCACCAGATGTGTAAAAGGGATGCTGGTCCTGCTTCTGCATGGTGAGTGTCGCTGCCAGTGTGGGCAGGAGCTGGAAGTCACAGGATCTTCTACCCAAAGAGTTCAGTTTTCAAGCGGCTTCCATGATTTGGACATCCATGATCAGATTTCACTGAGGGTGTGACTGTGGGGGAGGGGCTGGGGACTGAGAGTCAACAGCAGGAGGGACCCCGCCCCCACCCCGCCCCCACCCTGCCCCCACCCCAGCCAAATATATGAAATAGTCTCCTCGGTGATTTTCTTATCCTAATCTCAGATATAAATTCATTAATGTTATAACCCCCAACTATAGTGATTTTCTAATCATGTTATTTTAAGCTCATTTAGTTAAAACCCCAAGTCCCTTAAAGAAACCATCTTCCTAAAGGAGAAAGAGAAAAAATGAAAGATGTTGGAATTGTGGGCTTTTAGGGAATTACAGATGCTTAAGTTTTTTTCCAGTTTTTTTTTTTTTTGTCCTGTTGCTATATGTGTTTTAATATCCCAAGAAGGGCTGGAGGTGTGACTCAGTGGCAGAGCGCTTGCTCGATGCGCATGCTCCACGCATGCTCCAGGCCCTGGCTTCCATCCCCCACTACAAAAAAACAAAACAAAAACAAAAAACAAATCAAGAAGATTCATCATAAAGTATTTCCCCCAACTCTGGTTGCTCGAATCTGACTGAGATAGCCCAAGGGAAAAATCTGCTATGTTCTTCAGAAATAAATGATTTGACTCACAGAATCATTTTTTCTGACCTTTGGGGTGAATTTAATTATTTGAGGTATGATGATGTATGGAATAGATCTCTGTATGAGGTACTAGGAGAGAACATTTTACCAGATCATTCTAAAACAATAGTGATAGAATTTTCTCACTCTTGATTTCACCTTTTCAAAAAGTAGAACTTGTTCTATTGAATCAAATAGATATACAATGTACCTTCAGTTGGTTCAATTCTATGAGGGATATGATCATCTGATCTTTATCCTTGAGAAAATTACCTTCCTTCATGGGAGATCCAATAAATAAATGAGAAAAAAATTGGAACGAGACATAGGGAACATTATGATAAATAAGACACAACTTCCTACCTCAAGGAGCCTCCAAAGGACAGGAGTTGACATTTATATAATTGCCAGCAGCCAGCTTCTTGCCATTTCTCCTACCTAGAAAGGACATGAAGTTTGATTGACTCATGGGGACAGAATGTTTCCTTCTGAGAGCCAGTGTTATTATTTAAATGTGCACCCAAAGCTCTGCTGTCCTCGCAGACTGCAGATAGTTCAGAGCCTACATACTGCAAAACGGGTACCATCCTTGCTACAGAAACCTGAAACACATCCAGACTTTTTGTGACAAGTTGGAGGACTCAGTGGTGACATCATCTGCTAACAATAGTTGCACTTAAAATTAATGACCGTCTCCACATCCCCTGGTGCTTTCATTTAAAACACACTCTAGCAGCACAGAGAATATTTCTCTGACGACCATGAGTCACAAGCAATAGGGACAACATGTTCCTGAGACACGGGCTCGGATAGCGCTCTGTCTCCTTGGTTAAAAAAATGACAAGACCTTGGAGAAATCAGAAGTGGCTCACAGCAGGGGAAATTTGGGGCAAGATTGGAACCGAATTTCTCCTTCTGAGGACATACAGTTCTAGACGTGGGTCTTCTCTTGGAAGATTTGGTGTCCCCTTATGCCTCCTATGTCACCCCCCTCCAAAGTCTTCCTCTTGTTCATAGTATAACATGCAAATTTCACAAATTGTTCCATAGGTCCCTCACATCTGGCTTGCTCTATACTGAGTCTTTAAAGAGGGTCAGGGTTTGTGTTTTGACTACCCCCCTGTCTTGGAGTAAAGCATTGTAAGTGCTTTATAAGGGTTTGTAGGTTGAATGGATTAAGATACCCAGATTATAACCTTTACTCAGCCTGAGAGACTCAGTCATACTAGGTATTAGGTCTTCTGAGAGGGTAAGACTTGCATTGTTTTTTGATTTGCTGGGGATGGAATCCAGGGGTGCACTACCACTGAGCCACAGCCCCAGTCTTTTTAAAAATTGTTTAGGTTTTGAGACACAGTCTCCCTAAGTTGCCCAGGCTGGCCTTGAATTTGTGATCCTCCTGCCTTAGCCTCCTGAGTTGGGATTATAGGTGTGCACCACCACACCTGGGTGGAAATGTTCCAAATCTTGATTGGGATAGTTATACATATTTATTTGTGGTTTTTTATATTTATTTTTTAGTTTTAGGTGGACCCCAAATCTTTATTTTATTTTTTTATTTTTATGTGGTGCTGAGAATCGAACCCAGTGTCTCATGCATGCTAGATAAGTTCGATACCACTTGAGCCACAACCCCAGTCCCACATATACATTTGTTATACTTATTGAACTGTCCACTAAAGTTGGTACATTGCATTATAAGTCAATTATACCTCAATTAGATTTAAAAGAAGAATGGCTATAGGAAGAGAATGACTGTACTCCAAGTGGATTACATTCCTCATTATCAAGAGTCACATACTGGGGCTGGGGTTGTGGCTCAGTGGTAGAGCGCTTGCCTAGCATGCTCGAGGCACTGGGTTCGATCCTCAGCACCACATAAATGTAAAATAAAGATATTGTATCCACCTAAAACTTAAGAATAAATATTAAAAAAAAGAGGTACTGTGGCATGGTGAGCAATATGCATGGATGTCATTGTACAGACCAGTAGTTCCTACTTTTTGACTGCATAGTAGTAGTCCATCATATAGATGTCCCCTATTGTTGGACATTTAGGTTACTTCCAGTTAGGGGTATGTCTTAGTCTGTTTTCTGTTGCTATCACAAAATACCTGAGGTTGTTTTTTTTTTTTTTTAAAGGCAGTTTATTTAGCTTATTGTTCTGGAGGTTCAAGAGCATGATAACAACACCTGCTCAGTTCTGGTGGGGGCCTCATGGTAGAAGTATGTGTGAGGGGAGAAGACTACAGGGCAAGACAGGAACCAAGAAGGATTCAGGGGGAGGTACCAGGCTCACTTATAACTACCAGCTCTTGTAGGACTTCCTGAGAGATTGAGAACTCCATTAATGCCTCCCAAGGGCTGTGCTTTAATGACCTAATTACCTTCTAGTAGGCTCCACCCTTTAAAGGTTGCACTACCTCTTAATACCTCCACACCGAGGACCAGGCCTTAGTACATGAACCTTTGTGGGCCGCGTTCCAATAACCAGACCATAGCAGGAGAATTACCAGTATTTAGTCCTGGAGGCCTTTCTAGAGTCTTGTCTACTTCTCAGAAGGGACAGATCTTTACCTTGAAATTTCCAAAGGCCTTTGAGGTCCTCAGCAGACCATCTCCCCAGAGATAGATATCTCCTTTAGGACTCAGCCACAAAACTGCAGCTGGAATTGGTGAATTTTTTTTTTCTTGTCCCAGAACATACCTGCAGGGTGTGGGAAGCCAGTTCTGGGGTCAGGTGAGGCCAGAGGCCATGGCATGGCCTTCCCCACTGCATTTCTGTTTCCCTCATCCAGTTTTGTTTTGAAAACCCAGCACTGAGTCTTGGCCTGAGGAGCAACTGGGGTAGCCTTTGCCAGGAGTGGGAAGGGAAGGATTTCTAGAGCCAAGTGGCTGAAAAGATTTTGCTGAAACCAGAAAATTGATCATATTTTCCCATGCTATTTTGGTTTCATGAGGCACAAGTTCTTTTAAAACAATGAGAATAAAGAAACATTCCAAACTCACTCTGTGGTTGGAAACTCCATGAGTAACCCTTCTAGCAAACCTCGAGGGGCGAAAACACATATTTGCAAAGCTAAGGGCCTCCTGAGAGAAACTTAGCTGGTCTGCATCAATATATCATTCTTTGGGGGTATCTGAGTCCAGCCATTGCTGCCTCCTTGCAGCTGGGGGCTGGCCTGTGCAGGTCACCAGGACACAAATGCAAGGCTCATTCCAGGTGTTTGCCCAGATGCAGGGAAACCTTAATTTTTCTTCCTCCGCCCCCATCTCTTTCTTTCTTTTTTAAATAGAAGTAAACCCAGCATGGTGGAGCATGCCTGTAATCCCAGCAACTTGGGAGGCTAAGGCAGGAGGATCACAAGTTCGAGGCCAGCCTCAGCAATTTAGCAAGGTCCTAAGCAACTCAGTGAGACCTGTCTCAAAAATTTTAAAAAGTAATAATAATAAAAAAGGGCTGGGGATGTAGCTCAGTAGTAAAGCACCCTGGGTTCAATCCTCAGAAACAACAAAATAAAATAGACGTCAAATCCACATAAAATTTACCATTAACCATTTTTTTTAAAGAGAGAGTGAGAGAGGAGAGAGAGAGAGAGAGAGAGAGAGAGGAGAATTTTTAATATTTATTTTTTAGTTCTCGGCGGACACAACATCTTTGTTGGTATGTGGTGCTGAGGATCAAACCCGGGCCACACACATGCCAGGTGAGCGCGCTACCGCTTGAGCCACATCCCCAGCCCTACCATTAACCATTTTAATTTTAATTTTTATTTCATTTTTTGGTACTGGGGATTGAGAATCCAGGGGCACTTTACCACTGAACCACATTTCCAGCCTTTTAAATATTTTATTTAGAGATAAGTTCTCACTAAGTTGCTTAGGGCCTCACTAAATTGCTGAGGCTGGACTCCAACTTGTGATCCTCCTGCCTCAGCCTCCTGAACCACTGGGATTACAAGTGTGCACAACTGTGTTTGGCTATCATTAGCCATTTTAAAGTGCACAATTCAGTGACATTTAGCATGTACACAGTGTTGTGTAACCATCACCTCTATCTAGTTCTAAGACCTTTTTCATCTTCCCAAAAGGTGAAAAGATGTCTATTATCCAACAGTCACTCTATTCTCTCTACTCAGCCACTGGTGATCACTAATTGCTTTCTGCCTTTATGGATTTGCCTTTTCTGGACATTTCCTATAAATGGAACCATAATGTGTGGTCTTGTATAATTGTCTTATTTTACTCAGCATAATGAGTTTGAGGTTCATCCTTCTCCACATCATAGCATG